TGCAAAAAAAAAAAAAATACATGGAAAATTTCATTTTGACCCCTTGTGGTTTGCTCCCATAGCACTTTGTCCCCTTGTGGTTCAAAAATAGGCACATTACCCCCATGTAGTTTTGGACCAAGTTGCTATTGTTATAATTTCTATCCAACTACTAACATAATCCAATGATATTCTTTATCTTATAAAGAGTTTGTCTTCTTAAGATAAATTGTTCAAGTCTCACTCTCTCTTTCGCCTCCCAAAAATTATAATAATAATAATTTTTGTCCATCTTGATGGAAATTGTGGTACACGACCAATTTCAGAGTGGTTGTGCCAAAAATTTTAGTCAAAGTCAATAATTAATGTAAAAAGACAAAAAAAAATCCTCCATCTTCGTCAACTTTCCGTCGAAACACCCATGTCTTTCCCATCGTCATCTTCACTTCGTTAGCCAAACCCAACACCACCACTAGCGGCTTTTTACTTTTCCAGCCTAACTCAAACCACTAATAAGGGTCTTCTTTCTTTTGCCAAAACCACCGGCACTGATAACCAACTCCACTCATAAGCCCAATATCAACCTCATCAAAGCCACCTTCAGTTAGCCGCCACCACCACCATCAACGAACTCCACCCATGATGACGATGCCAAAACCACTTTCTGCTAGTAGCTACCTCAAGCCACCATGCAAAAGTAATCACTTTCAATTCCAATATGAACTTGAAATCGAAATCACTTTTGATGTTAAATTGAACAAATCCATATGACATCCAAAAATAAAAATCAAAATTAATTTCAGTTTTGATTTTGTTTGGATTTTGCAACAAAGAAGAGACTGTGTTGATTGCTATGATTTGTAAGGTGGTTCCATTAAAGAGATGTTGCTATGGTTTCTTGCAGTAGTATCTCCTACATTGATTTTTTGTGAACTTTGGAACTCTAAATCCAGATTTGTGAACTTGGGAACCAATTGATACAAGGGGGTTTCACAAGTAAATGGGACAATAAAGTGGGTTGGATTTTATTATTTTAATCATAATTGATTCATGTGACTTTTATTTTAAGAGTACTGTAAGAGGCAAAAAATCGAGATTACCTCCTATTGGAATTGAAATATTTATGTGTTTCTGAACTTGATCTACTAATCTTTCTTTTCTTGCAAAACGAACAAACTGTCCAAGATTGAAGTGCTTCGATCGAAGGCACTCCAATGTTTATGTCAGTAAAAATGATGAAACGAATGGAAGAAGACCAAGAGAGTTCAGCGTACCTTTCTTCTTAGCTCCTTTTGCTTTTTATAGATGGTCATCCCCTTAGCGTTTCCATGATTCTTGATTCGAGGTGGCACACCTTCCTTTAATTTAGTGATTCGGTTTAAAAAATTGCTGATATTTCTCAATTATTTTCTCCTGATATCTTCAATTTCTCTGATTTGTTTATCTGATTGCCTAAGTTATAGGCGAATCTTTATCTTTCTGTCTATTATTTGAAACACCTCAGACATATCGAATGTCGAACACACTCGATGTTCGCCGAACAGATTAAGGGACTTGTTTGACACAAATCGATCTCTTCAATTGCCTTACCGAACACTCTAATGGATTTGGCTTGATACAAGCCGAGCTCTTTTCTTACTTAGCTGAACAGATTAATGAGCTCAGTCATCAAGAGAACCGAACTCTTTCTTTCTTTGTCGAACCTATCGATCAGCACGACTCGTTTTATAAGATTGTGTGAAGGATTTTCCCGTCACGTAATCTGTCTTATCAACCTCACGTGAGTTTCATTTAATGTCATTACATGTGTAATAATGAGGGCTAACCCCTTCAAGTACAATAAATTTTAATAGGTTTTGATTTTAGCAGAGCCATTGACGAGGAGGTGAAGATACTTGGGAGAAGAAGAAAATGAGAGTATTAATGTAATTTAACATGTCCTATACGGTGTTAGTTGTGTGAATTGGTCTAAAAACTATATGAGGGTTATATGCTAAATATAGATTTGACAATTCACAAAAATTTTACACCCATCCAATTTTACATCCAACCACCCTCCTCTCTAGCTAGGTTAGTTCTCTTCAGATTCAATTGGTAGTTGGGGTCACCCCCAATAGGTGAATGCATTGTTTATATCAGCCACTTCACACAATCTTAATATAGCTTGTTGATTTTTCAGATAGGAAATACTAATAAGGGTGTGTTTGATTTAAGTATTAAGAAAGATCAAATTAGACAAACTTGTCTATTCCATACCCATTTATCTGGCCTTTTGACTAATTATAGTGATAATAACTCTTCATCTCATCTTTGATTCAAATATTAAGAAGTAGTGGATCTCACATTTATCACATTCAATACTTTGTTTGAATGAAATATTGAATGATGGTATAAACATTAAATTATTAAAGAACCCGCAAGATAAAGAGTGATATTTATAACTTAGAATTTCTTGAAATACATTATAACAAGATTATTTAAACCCACCAAAAAAGTGGGATTATTAAGAAGCTATATGTCATATTAAATATACTATTCATCTAAATCGATATTATTTATAAGTAATAATAATACCATACCCAAAATATGTATTCAAATATGAGTACAAGAGGGACAAGGTCGAGCCAATATTATTTTTTCCAATCTTTCTTTCCTACTACCCAAAGCAAACAATGTCGGAGGGCTTTGGGGCCAGAGACAACCTCCCCCATCTCTCGGTCGACACACACCACATCCACTCTCTCTCTCTCTCTCTCTCTCTCTCCCCCCATTTCTCGGCTTTGAGGAGGTTGAGGCCGGGTACTCATCAGAGCCGGTCCAACCTATAGGCCACTTTGGCCATTGTCTGGGGCCTCTAAATTGGGAGAAAAATTATAGGGTCTCAGGATAAAATTTTATATTATGATATATAATCTAGATATTGTGATATAATTTAAATATTCAACACATTTTAACAATTGAATTAGTAGGGAGTGCAAACTTTAAACAAAATATATTATTTATCCAATGTATTTGATCCTCAAATTCAGTATAAATAGAATTATCGTAAATTTTTTAAAACCTCTTTCAAAAAAAATTAGGGCCCTATAGTTCAACCTAATTTTTTTATCTCACTCGATGTTTATATTATATGTATTATCATTTTTCAGTCTTATTATTAAAATCAATTGTCTATCGTATAATAGATATGAATAATGATTTTACATTTCTATCAGTTAAATTTGAGATCATTTTATGATTAATTTGTTTATAATGCATAGAATGACTATAAAATAGAGTGAGTAGAAGTAATGCACTATCTGAAATTTATCGGTCATAGTTGTCTTACTAAATTTTCTTATTTAAACATAATACTATTTCTCTACATATCTTGTAATGTCTTATTTATTTTAGGACCACTCAACTTGTATAAATTTTTATTTTTATATTCATTGAGAGAAAAATCATTTTATTAGTTAAACTAATTTTTAATTATATTTTTTTTTATCTTAAACAAATAGCATGTATCATTGTATTTGATCTCCAAATTTGACTACAGTTAACAATGCAATTTTTATTTGAAAAATTCATGTTGTATCTAAAATAAATATAAAATAAATAATTTTTAAATAAACATAATAATTATTTAATACTAATATTATTACTGAATAAATATTATTAAGGCTCCAAATAACATTTTTGTCTAGGGTCCCTAGTTGGGTTGGGCCGCCCCCTGGTACTTATAGAAGACGAGCCTACTTTTTTTTTGTTCAACTGGACTTGTAGGTTTGATGGGTTCTTGTCATATGGCTAGCTAACACCACCAGCCCTTGGTAGGTCAAGCAAAGTGCATCAACAAAAGGGAAGCAATCCAAGCACTTCTTGAAAAAGAACAAAAAAAGCAGGGAGTTTTGAAGAGGGAAGTCAATTTTCTACAGCAGATGAGTGTTTCAGCATTGTTATGGCTCGTTAGGAGCGATGATAATGTGGAAAAAAATTGCGATATTTACCGTTACATAGGTATTTTATTGGCCCGTTAAAAAATTAATTGAGAAGTTAATTTTATACGTGAGACTATAATGCAATAAATGCACTTGCACTTTTTGGTTCATTCCATTTTTCATCAATACCAAACATGAAAAAATCATCTCTCTTACAAAACAAAGGAGAGAGAAGACTTATATGAAAAGTGCATCCTTCTACTTTCTTTTATTGACGATTTCCATCCATCCAACCGAATGGCTCATTAATTTTGAATGTTAAGGGCAAGGAGTACAGCTAAGCATGCAAAAGAAAGCAGGAGAGTTTAGAAGGAGAAAAGATGAAAGAAAGAGCATAAGACAAGCTCATTGAAATTACTCCAACATGAGAATTTGGTTATGCCTTTCGGACTCACTCTGCCACGTTCTAGACTGGTGGTATATTTTAATCGTAGACTATAGCCATTCGTTAAACGACTACGTTTGTCACGTCCAAACTTTAAGATTTTAAGAAAAAAATCACTTCTATGTAAAGAAAGAGAAATGTTCTTTTGATAGACAAAAATCTTACTCCTAGGACATTAGATGAGCATCAAAGCCATCGAGAAGTGGCTTTTTGCCCTTTACGACTTCATGGAGGAATATTTGAATGACTCAATCAATTTTCTTTTCTTTATCTCCCTCTTTCTTTTTCATACTTCTTTTCTTTTCTTTATCTCCCTCTTTCTTTTTCTTACTTCTTTTCTTTCCTTTATCTCCCTCTTTCTTTTTCATGCTTCTTTTCTTTGCTTTTATCTATACTATGCTTTATTACTCATTAACATTCAATTTAGACCTCAAACAAATGTTTGAAACAGAGGTGCTAGCTTTCTACCATATAAACAAGCCAGATGATGTCACCAAAAATAAAGATTAGTTTGATCACCAAAATTATTCAAGTAAAATTAGAGGTTCAGTACAGAGCAACAAGAACAACCAAAATTACCAGAACAGATAAGGAAGCTAAACCTCCACTAGCAAAAATTTGAAGCTTCCCCTCTTACATTTCTGCCTTTCTCATCATCAAATCTTGTTTTTGTACCAGAAGACACCCTTGTTCTTCTCACCATCCTCTTGCTCAACATAAATGCATTCCTTTGTTTCTCTCCACATTGCTTTAAAAATCGAAGTCCCGTCGAATTGATAATAATCTCCCAATATTGGCTTGATCGCCTTTGTGGCCTCCATTGCATGATAATGTGGCATCGTCGAGAAGAGATGGTGTGCCACATGGGTATCGGTAATATTGTGGAACACCTTGTTTAGAATCCCATAATCTCTGTCAACCGTAGCCAAAGCACCTCTCAACCAATCCCATTCGGAGGAATCATAATGAGGCAATGAAGGGTGAGTATGCTGCAAAAATGTGATCAACACAAGAAATCCATTGACAACAAGTAATGGACCTCCATAAACACAGATAACCCAAGCTAGTCCTTTTGCTGCCACTAGACGATAAAGCCCACAAGTGGCAGCAAGAACACCAGCATCAGAAAGGTATATCTGAATACGCTCACGATCCGAGTAAATAGGCCCGTATGGATCATAGTGCGATGCAAAGCGATCATAACGCCGGCCAGAAACATTGAATAAAAGATACAAAGGCCAGCCTAGAGTGAGTGTCAAGACGAGTGTGAGGACTCTCCCAGGTGGGTTGTTAATGTATTTGGCATACCATTTTAGGCTCGACTTGGGTTTAGGCACGAATACTTCATCGCGGTCAAGGGAGGCCGTGTTGGAATGGTGGCGGCGATGACTATATTTCCAAGAAAAGTATGGGACAAGGAGAGCGGAGTGTAGGATAAGGCCAACAGTGTCATCCAGCCACTGATAGTCACTGAAGGCATGGTGGCCACACTCATGGGCTATGACCCAAACACCGGTTAGGACACAGCCTTGGCATATCCAATAAAGTGGCCAGGCTAGGTAGGAGAGAGGGTGAGGAAGGAGTTGGATAAAACTGGTGGCAATGTAGTAGAATAGAGAGACTATGGCTAAGTCGTAAACGACATAGGAGAAAGAGCGAGGAATGGATCGCTGGAAACAATGGGGTGGGATGGCTTTCTTGACCTCCCCCAGTGTGAATGGAGGTTTGGAGTATGGAACTCGCTGGAGGATGTCTGTTTTAGACTTCTTGCCCTCAGGGCGAACAGACATTCTGCCACCAGCACCCATTATTCAGCAACCTGCAATAAAGAGTGTTATAGTTAGTAGTACAATGAAGTTTTTCGCACTTTACACCTTGAAATATTTTAAGTTTCTCAATTTATATTTTTAAAAATTAAATTTTTACATGGTTCTCTCAATGTATCTAAAGTGTTACAGTATAACCCTTCGTTTAGCTTCTGTTATTTTTCCATCAAAAACCAACCCATTGACACTAACAGAAAATTATGTAAAGTGAAAATCTTAAAATCTTTCTAAATGCAAAATACAATTCACCCTTCAAAATTTAGTAAGTTACACATGTATATTTTTGTAAGATCTTGTCAATATCTAATAAAACACAACTTCTTACGGAAAAAAATCAATTGAATTTGTTCAGAATTAATAGTATCTGAAATTGAGAAGTCGAATCCAAATAGGACTTTTTCCAAGTTACACCAGAAAGTTTTATCGGATGCCAATTCTATCGTGGGGTTCAGCCTGGGCTGGGACTGGATTATAAAGACAAGCTTTCTGCCAAAACTCATAAGTCATACCCAGCTTACAAATTTGGGCTGGGTCCAGGAAAATCAAAACGGGTCTGCAAACTGAAAAGCCCAGCCCAAGTAGGCAATAACACTACTGTTGATATATTTTAGGCCCTACAGTGTCAGACTGTCAGAAAGCTGGGGTCTCGGAAAATTAAAACGGGTCTGGAAACTAAGAAGGCCAGCCCAAGGGCCAAGGGGTAAACAGCACTGCTGTTGATTTATTTTAGGCCCTACAGTGTCAGTCTTACCCTACACACCAAGTGACAAGGACCACAGATAAGACCACAAAAAACGCGTAGACGAAAGTGGATGTCTAGCCAGTGTCCATTCGTTCAGGAGAAAAGGGCAGGCGTTACAGAGTGGAGATCACGGAGGATCCCCCTTCGTTATTAGAAAGAGACCTCTCACATGGCTGAGTCAATACACACATTACAAAGCAAGGCATGCGCAACCTCTTTTTTTTTTTTCTCTACAGTCAGAAATATCTGAATCAATTTACGCTTACGTGCATCTCAACTAATTTTCTTTCTGACCCGGTCAAATACGAAATCATTCACGTTAAGACTAAAATATTCATGAGAGATTAATTCCTCATGACTTAACTTTTAAAGATCGTCAAAATTTGAATTCACTATGTCTGAATTTACAACTAATAAAAAACATGACCTCTTTTTTCTCTCACTTGAATAACACGTACCCAAAAATCAGATACTTATTACTTATTACCTATTTCATCCAAATCTATATTATAAAATAGGGCATACTTTAATAAGTTCATCCGACGATTTCAAATAGACTAATTCAACGGTCAATAATATCCCTATCAAAATTATTCACATTATATCGCATCTTCCAACACTATCTCGCTAGTCACGTGGAGACTCAAACTAAGAATTGCAAAAGCTGATTGTGATTACCTGTATTTGGTCGTGAAGACAGGTAATACCCCCCCTAATTACAATAATCACAATGAGTAAGAATATAACTAAAGCAGGTATCCTCCAAAGAATATCCAATTTTCAATTACTTATTTTGGTGAAAGACCCCCACAACAAAAGTTTACAGCACTGTAGCAGTCAAAGAGAATAAATTAATAAAGAGCAACACAACTAGCAAATCTACTTTTCAATTGCACCAAACAATTGGTTGATGACCCCAGCACAAGCGTGTCCAGCAATTTAGGCGTCAAAGAGTAAAATAATAGACAACCACCCAACTTTAATACTGATTCAAATAGATAGGGCACTGTGGAAGTCCAAATGACCAAAAGCACAAGGCGCCGACTTCTCGGAAGAACTAATACTAAAAGGGAAAATAATCAAAATCTAACAAAGACAACAGAAAAGAACTTAATGACGGCAAGATATTTGTGTGTTTAAATATATATTAATGATAAAATTAATTGAATCGGTGTCATTTTGATGGCCGGCTAAGTAGTCTTCGGTGTGCTATGAAAGTTTGAAATGTATACAACTCATTTTCTAATGAACATGATTTCATTTCAACGAGTAATATATGCAGGTGTTTTCAGACGACTAATCTTGTAATTCTTAGTCAAGAAACTGACCCAATTCACAGGGCGGTCGTTGCCCAATTATGGTGGAATGGAAGACTTTGATTCAAAAACTCATTTTTTTATGAAGCAAGTTATCAGATTCACCTGCTGTTGTTTTCTTCAAAAGAAAAACTATGTAGCGGGAATAATTACCTATATTACAACCTGATCAAAAACTTAATTTATTGTGATCATTTAATTAATAGTGATCCCAACATTAAATAAAGTATTCCAATAAACCTAATGGTCATAGTAGATAAGTCTCCAAGCTAGATACAATTATTACTATCAAATCTATGAGTTTTGTCCTCACAGACACAGAGAGACAGAGAAGGGGGGGGGGAGAGTCAGCATCGTAGTGGGTTAGTTGGGGTACTAAATTCATTAAGACAGTATCAAATTGAATGAAACAACAAAATATAATGGACCATATAATCAAGAAGAAAACAACAGAAGGTAAACAAAAAGCTTCCAGCAAAGTAGTTTAAAAAAGGAAATGAAAATCATGATCCAGGGAACTTACAGTAGAGAACTACCCTTCCCCCCAAAATAAAAGTTACACACATTTGTAAGACCCACATACCGTGTATACTTTTCACAAAAAGATAAAAGATATATAATGGCAAGCATGTGTAATATTGAGATCGAGTATAATATCAAAAAGACAGTTTTTGATATCATATAAAAAAATTATTACAACCATTAATCTCAAAAATTATAAAGTAAAAAAGTAAGAATTTTCCGATTTAATGCTATCATACCACAATAAAAGCGCGGTAGAATAAGTACCAAAACTATTTTATACCTTGGTGCCACCTTTACTTTCTATATTTTAGCCACCTTTACTTTCTATAAATTGCTCCTTCATCGCTCTTCTTAGAATAAGAATATTGTTATGAAGTCAGCCCCATAACCTTGTTTTGTTTAAATTTGCACTGCTATATATCACTATCTGTAATACCGGAGGACCACCCAATTTGTAGCCTGTTGCATACCCAAAAAGTTCGTGGCAAAGAATAAAAATGCCTAAATATAGAGACATACATCAAGTGGCCATGACAAGAAAGAATCATGGGTGGTTGGATCACAAAACTTAAAGCCTCAAATTGCTTTATTTTTAGAATCAGGAATGCTCCAACGATCAAAAAAGAGATAAAGAACATGGACCAAAATGATACGACATTTACATAAAGATGTTTTGTTGGTTTCACATTTATACGTTTAAATTCAAATTTGTTTTTGATATCCGTTTTCGTCGATGCTCTTTCAGAATATGGACTACATTGATTATGTGTGCATTATTTGTATGTCTATATAGCTAGATTTCTGATACAAATGGAAAGAAACAGCCACATTAATGGATTTTATTTATAGAAAAATGTGTTTTCTAGAAAAACTTAAACAAGAATCAAAGAGAGCGGCATCCAGAACTGGATCAAAACGGATTCAACAAGAAATAAAAATAACAAAATAAACAGAATGAAAATGTTAGGATTTTACAGATTTTTCCTAAATATTTATACAGCTTTACAGAATTTTTTTTTTCCAATCCCAAAACGGAACAAAACAGTTATAATTTTTTTTTTTTCAAAATTTCATCTGAAAACATCTGGTTTTGATGTTATGATCTAAAATAAAAATATCATGATTACATATAAGAATTAACAGCACTAAAAATCTCAATACGATGCACAGAGGCCTCAATATCTCCACCTAGATCTAACCTCATTCACTAATTTCTAACCAAAACACCAATTTTCAAACAAAGGCAATCACAAATTCGCAACCCAGATATTAAAACCGATCTTAAACAGAAAATGTAAGCATAATACATCCAGAATATTCAAAACGTACCTGAAACAGAGGATCTTCTTTTTCTCTGTATGCCTTTCTCCTCTCCTTCCCTCTGTATGCCTTTCGTCTGTCCCTCTCTCGGCTGTAGCCGTCCTAATGCGGCCCCGCCCTATGGCTTCGCACAGCGTTCGGTATTTGAGATTTTGTTTCCCTCCTCCGAATTGGATGCGACAAGAGTGAGGTCCACCATCAACATGTAGTTTGGCCCTTTGATGATATTTTTACAGTTTTACACGTGTCAAGAAATCATTCGATCATGTGAGTTGTGTCTGTAACTGACTCCATGTATAAAGAGAAAAAGGCCGACATCCGCTAAAATACACTGTTATCTGTTTAATTTTTTATTTAATGATCATCTGATTTAAGTGGTGTCTATTATATTCAGAATAATGCTACATCGATTCAAAAAAATAAAAAATAAGAATTAAATGATATAATAATATTATAATATTATTGTTAATTTCACTTTTACACATTTAAAAATTAAATTTATTCCATCAATATAACACTACAGAGTGCGTATATAAATGAATTCCTCACTTGTTAATGTTAAATATTGTGTGTATAGTTATTTATTCAAGGCCCAACCCTCCCTCAAAAGTGGCTGATGCATTAATTGAATTGAGGCCGTTAGATTGAGAAGTTAAGATTTTCTAGTACGGATTGAGTTGTAGGGGTGAGATTGCATTTGGGCTAAGAGTTGGTGAAAATATCTGGGATGCGATCACGTGCAGGGAAGTATGTAAATGACAAAAGCGTCCCTAAACAGCTTTTCAGCAAGTGCACTGGTCCACTTGCACGGAACAAAGACCAAAATTACACATACTACCCTCATAGGATGATGCATTTACTATGTGTGGTCCCTATAGTTTTAGAAATTACAGTTAGTCCTTATTGACTATTGGAGTTAGCAAAATTAAACGGAATAACCAATTACTCTTTGGTCAATGTCATAAAATTCCGTTAAAAAAATGTGAAATTGATAAGAAAATCACTTTCACGGCTAAAATAATGAACATTCATAGAAAAAACCTACGTATAT